GGAGCCAGACGTCCACCTCTAAACGCTCACAGAAAGTTATTCCATGTATTGATTATGGATTTGCTGCCTGATGACTGAGACATTGTTTTACAGTCACTTTTGGCCTTTTTTTTTTAAATCAGTTCATGGTGGAAGGGTACATGCAGGGCATAAAGCAGGTTTGTGCTAATGCTTTGATTAGGTTTATCATACACACTCAGCTGTTAAAGACCAGGTTTTGTCTAAAAAGTATTCTAACAGTTTTCCAAACTATTGTTTAAGCACACGTTGAAACTTTTGGTCTAAAGGTGGGTAAAACAGCATAATCAGCATCACATATCAAAACTCAGAAGACACGTGTAGGTTTACTGCTGATTTTGGATAGTATTTAAAATGGACATGTTTGTGTTTTAGACATTGCAGCCCCAGAAAGGCTTGACTGTGTTTTGAAAACATTTTGTAAAGCCCAAACATTTCAGTGGGCAGTGTATTTTTCCCCAGTGTAATCCTTCCTCTTTCTCTTTCTGCTGATGGTGTAATGCAGGCCAGCTGTCCAGTTAGACTTTACCCCAGTCTGATAGAGCTGCTTGTGTAAATGGAGCAGAGTTCAAGCTGTCCATATGAGACAATATCACACTTAATGCTTCCGAAATACTAACTATGAAAAAATTTTCAATACAGTATCCAAAGATCAGAAGAACTGAGCTTGTGATATTGTATGGAAATGTAAAACTGTGCACGCCCCTCCTCTTCAAAGAGTGTCTCATTTACCGTCTATCCTGGAAACCAGTGTCAGGGAGCAAGTTCACATGCACTTAATAATCCGATCATAATCCGATTTCTGCAGTTATCTGATTATTCAAATGGTCATGTAAACAGCACACTCCAATTTCTTAGACCAGAGTACTGTCTAAAAATCTGATAAAGAGAGCTGGATTTTACCTCAGTAATCAGATTTCTCAGTGCTTGTAAACTCTTACTCTGATTTCTTTCTGATTGCTCAGTCTGCACATGTGCAAAAATAGACCGCGGTACCGGAAATAAGCCAGCAGCACTGTCGCAAAATGGCAGCAAACAATGCTGAAACCAAATACATGCTTGGCGATATGAAGGATTTAAATATTCTTCATCTTCTAGATGATGTTTGTTCATATTTTCAGGTAAAGTGACGCAATGTTTTAAAAAAAAAAAAGCCGCGGCATGAAGTTTTAGTTTTACCTTATGTTTACGTCACGCCTCCTTCTGTGAGTTTATTGGCCGGTTTCAAAACAGAAATCCAATTACTGTCTGACTCATGTAGACCTGGAGCCTCTGATTATCTGATTACTCAAATGCATGTAAAAGCTTTGATCCGATTACTGACAAAATCTGATTTTCTGCAGTTATTGGATTATTAAGTGCATGTAAACGTATTCACTGATCAGAGCTAGGCATCTGGGTGCAGCCGGTCAGAGTAAAGTGGGCAGAGAGGGGGTGGGGCTTATGCTATGGACACAGAGTCAGATGCTCTTTTGGATAACTTTTCTGAACCAAACCATCGGTAACTTCAAACGAAAAAAACGTTTCAATTCCAAATGATGTATTTTTGGCCAAAATGCTGCAGTGGTTTGAGTTTGTACAGTGTGATGTGTGGCCGTTCTGAGACCACCCCCTGACTGTGATTGGTCCTGATCACTGCCTCGTTTGTTCTGAGACCCCCCCTCTGACTGTGATTGGTCCTGATCACTGCCTAGTTTGTTCTGAGACCCCCCTCCCGGCCGTGATTGGTTCTATGCTCCATGTCGTTTGTTCTGAGACCTCCCCATGACTGTGATTGGTCCTATACTCCACGTCATTTATTTCAAGACCTCCCCCTGACTGTGATTGGTTGATATCACCACCTCATTTGTTTCAGAGACCTCCCCCTGACTGTGATTGGTCCTATACTCCACATTGTTTGTTCTGAGACCTCTTCCCTGACTGTGATTGGTCCTGATCACTGCCTTGTATGTTCTGAGACCTCCCCCTGACTGTGATTGGTTGATTTCACCGTCTCATTTGTTCGGAGTCCTCCCCTGACTGTGATTGGTCCTAATGTCTGCACTATTCGTTCTGAAACCTCCCTCTAACTGTGATTGGTGCTGATCTATGTGGTGTTTGTTCTGAGACCTCCCCCTGACTGTGATTGGTCCTAATGAGCACATCATTACTTCTGAAACTTCCTTCTCACTGTGATTGGTCCTGATCTATGTGGTGTTTGTTCTGAGACCTCCCCCTGACTGTGATTGGTCTAATCTCTTTGTTGTTTGTGCCTAGAGCTCCCCCTGACTGTGATGTCACATCGTTGCCTTTGAGTTGTTTTTAGATATATTTAATACAGCGTATTCGGCAATGGCTTGATTAATCTTTTATCTTTTGTTTGAAATGCTCTGCCAAATCTAGAGCTCTGCAGAATCAAGACATTGCTAACATGAAATATCGAAAATCAAATCGTGTTATAAAACCTCAGAAACCAGTTTTATCGTTCTAATATTAGCTCTCCCACTAAAATGAATTTGCCATGTATGATCAGCTCTCTTTTCCCTAATCATATTAATAATTAATAGAGTTTTGCATCTGTTTTAAATGGCTGTTACAGTTGTTACCCTTAGTCTGTAACAGTTAACTCCCTCTTGGATTAAGTTCACTCACTCTGCTTTCGATTAAATTGTTCATAAATTGTAGGTACTTTTAAAGTTATTTAGCAAAACACAGTGTGATAGGTTATAGGTTGTGCCCTGCTCTCCCCTACATTTGATTTCCAAACTGCTCCACTAAACCGGGGGTTCTCCAGTGTAGAGGTATGCAGAGGAGCCGGACGTTAATATCCTGCTTGCTTGTGGAGTGCTGGTCTGGTGAAACAGCCTGGCCTTTTTTATAAGCATAAATATTGACCGTGTTCTCCTCGTGCTGCTGTGTTTGTGTGCTGAGCATTATTAACATCATTAGCATCCTGGAGTTTCTGTCCTGAACTGTCTGCTATCTGTGTCCTATCTGCTGCTGTCGTTTACCAACAGGGTGTGCCGGGCTGTTTGACAGGAGGCTGATGAGGAAACTATAATAATAGTAGGAAAAGGCGTAATGATAGTGTGGCGTTGTGGTGAAGAACCAGAAAATGCCAGTATTTCTGCTCAGGAAAGTTCTCTTTTATTGAACAGTCTAGGGGTGCATGATAAATTGTATTTTTATCGTTATCGCGATATGAGTTTCCGCGATAAACACATTAATGAGTGAACCAATCTAATTACCTTATACACGCAGCGCCAGAGAGGCATCATTACATTACCGGCACAAACCGCTACAAGCCTGCCTCTCTGCGCTGGGACCGAACCTGCTCTCCCACGTGGGAGATGAGTGACTTAACCATTCGACCAAACAGCCAACTCCAGAACACACTCAGAGGGCTTTAAATATCGCCCATAACTCAGCTTTACTGGAAATTCAACTCAAAAGAGCTGCAGCAAAGGGCGAAACACGCAGCACACAGGCTAGCTCAGGCTCTACTGTTTTTCTGCTAGCCAGCTGGGATACTGAAGCTTGTTACCTTATGCCCCCAGAGTCCTTCAAAATAAGAGTCCTGGACCAACTAAGAACTACACTCGACCAAAAGCGCAATATTTTGCAATATTTTGTAAAAAACAAGAGCAATATTTTGTAAAAAACAATTATTTTTGAAGTAAATACAACCTGCCATGTCTGATGCCCAATGACAGCTGGGATAGGCTCCAGCACCCCACCGCGACCCAGAAGGATAAGCGGTTTAGGTGTGTGTGTGTGTTTGTGTGTGTGTGTATGTGTGTGTGTGTCTGATGCCAGAATATTTAATAACTAAGCAAAAAAATAAAGTAGAATATGTATTTGTTCTTTTGTGCCTATATAAAAACATACATATCTATTTATTTGGTTTTGTGGCCTCAAATTTTGTTGAGGTAATGCTGATTGTTTCTCAGTCCTACAATGCACAAAAATGTGCTTGCAGTTCTGATGTAAGTAGTTCTTAGTATTTTGTTTCTTTTGCAGAAAAGGTAATGGTGCTTTTGTAATTTTGTATTTTGCTATTTGCTTAAAGAGGGTTTAAAGAGAGGTTAGTTAGATTTCTGTTTACACATCCCAAACAATGTCCCCACTTGCGCCACGTAATTTATCGCTTCTCGTATAGTCAACATGATATCGGACAGCTTCATCAAACATCACGTTTTATGTCAATATTGTGCAGCACTATAGGTGGAATAGGTGGAAAGGTCACTTCTAGCCATATGACTTCTCTCTATCGTAGACACCAAGCCCACTCTAAGTAAACCCACAGCCCAGCACAATAAAACACAGCCAAACAGCTAACAAACAACAACATAAACAACAATGACAAACGTCTCTTTCGGGAGGAGGGGGGTAATGTGGTGCAGCTTTTATTAAAACCTGAAGAGCCCTTGGTGACACTGAGCAGGTGGCAGCCACAGTAGTCTTAATAAGCCTGAGTAATTAAACCTAGTCTTGGGCTAAAACTGCGATGTCAGTGGTGTTCCACAATAAAAAAATCCATTAGTTTAGGCTTAATCTGGGTCTGGAAAGCCAGGTTCAGATCATTAGTAGAAAGATGGACAAAAAAGAAGAAATGTTGGATGTGTTGAGAATGAACAGAGCTGTAGAAGATTCTAAAACCTCCATCAACATCCAGAATGAAGTTATAATGAAATAAATTCTCAGAATGCTTCATATTTGAAAAGTGCTTGAGGCAGATAACTTATCAAGAAATTACTGTAAATAGGTAATTACAGTATAGTAATTACAGTATAGTTAATAAAGTTAAAAAAGCTAAAATGTTAAGGAAAACATCTGCACTGTATAAGTTATTATTGAATAAAACAACAACAACAACAATAATGACAAGTGATTCCAAAAGGCTCTGTTTTTGACTTTAATACTCTGAGTGAAAAATAATCTCTCTCTCTCTCTCTCTCTCTCTCTCTCTCTCTCTCTCTCTCTCTCTCTCTCTCTCTCTCTAGCATCAAGCTGTTAGCAGTTCAGGACCTGGCTGATCGTGAAGCTCTGAATAAGGTACTGCAGTAGTTCATTAATATAATTTCCATTTTGTGCTCTAAAATCATTTTGTCCCTGATCTCTCGAGTCACTTTAAGAGTAGCCTGACTGTCTGACCCTACTTGACTGCTGTAATTCCAGCTGTTAGCTCTGGTTGGAGATTCTTGTTGTAAGTTAAATCAACATAAGCCCACATTCATACTGTGATACGGTTAACCTGCTTGAAGGAATAGCACAGCATTTTTCAACCTAATCCGCAAATGCTGCAAACAGTCGATTCCTACAGACCAGTCAGATCAGTTTCACTTAGTTTACTTAGAAAAAAAGAAAAAATATTGACAGAAAAAACACTGATAACGCTTTACTGTAGGGTACAGGTCATAAGGCTTTATGACACTTACATAAGCTTGTCATGAAAACTGACATAACCCTACATAAATGTGTACAAATGCTTATTACAATAGGTGTAATTCACTATAAAGTTTACATTTGCCGGTTTTGTCAATGTTAGCTAAAGTAGACTTTATGACCGATGATGCCTATTGGTATAAGCATTTATAAACATTTATGTAGGGTTATGTCAGTTGTCATGTCAAGCTTATGTAGGTGTCACGTAGCCTTATGAACAGAATTAGGGCCAGACCGATATAAACATTTTTGTGGCTGGTATTGATTTAAAGGAGCTAAAATGTCCTGTTATCAATAATATTGCCTGACATTATTGCGCATTTATAGTTTGGATTTTAAACGTATTCTAATATAAAGTTTTAGCGAGTCAATGCTTTACTGATAAATATGGTTTTCTCAGTTGTCTCACTTTTTATTCTCAGTTTCAGCTCTGTCTTAAATAATATAAATATTGTCGCACTGGGAGTGGAGCTACCCATAATTCTTTGTGGTTTTCGTTTCTGTTACCTCTTGTTTATCTTTGTAACGAGGGAGGCGATGAAGCTGGATGCAAGCATGAGTTCCTTTTATTTAAATCTGATCAGAGTCCAGAAACTGATTGCAGAGGTGAGTAGAGCAGATAAGTCCATTGTGAAGCATAACAAAGAGAAGCGAACAAAAGCAAAACTGAACACAAAGGAAGACAAACTAAACTAGAAAAAACTATAATACTGAAGTAACCTGGAAACAGGGAACAAAAACAGTCACATCGACAATGCAAGACCAACAGACTGAGCAAACACAGGGGTATAAATACAATAAGGGGAGACGAGAAACACCTGGGACTAACAAGAGGGCAGACTACAGACAGGTGAGACAGATAACAAGGAGGCAGGACCGGGGAGAAGACACAGACCAAGACAACAACAAAAGCATGTGGCAAGACACACAAGGGGAAGGAAAACAAAGACAGACTGTTAATATCAGACGATAATATTGGCCAACCGATATATTGGTCCAGCTCTGATAGGGGGTGCACAGCAGTCTTTATTGCCACTGTAGAATCTGTATATTTAAGCCATGTGACAGTGCATGTGATCAGTAAATAGTCAGGGCTGTTGGGCAGTGAGCATATTGGATCTTGCTAATTACTGATTTGATGTTTGACTGTTCTGATGATTGATCTTATAATTTTATGTTTTTGTGGTGGATCAGCAGTGCACCACAACATGCTTTCCCATGGGGACAATAACAATAAAGTGTATTGTATGATTGTATTACAGTAATAAAGTAATCTAAAAATACAACAGCAAACACTAATATAAAGGACTTAGCTCTCTCTCTCTCTCTCTCTCTCTCTCTCTCTCTCTCTCTCTCTCTCTCTTTTCACGCTGGCCCAGCCAGGGTTCCTGGTTATTTTGGGGCATTATTTTTGTGTGAGGCGTTCATGTCCCTTCGCAGCCCATTCAGCTATAAATACTGTGTCAGTTCCAGTGTGTATGCTCTGGACTCTGGGCTTCTGTGGAAAAATCCACTGCTATAACTCCATTTGCTGCACACAAGAAACATAAAATACAGCCTCGCATTTCTTAGAGCAGATTAGCTTTTACTGCAGCATGTCCGCTGATTTAACAGAGTAGAGTTGTGGCATTCATTCAACAGGAGATGGGATAGAGGTGATCACAACTAGGGAAATGCAAGCAAGCCAGCCCCTAACACGCACTCCAGTCCCATGGCCTTTTGTTGCATGTTTAGCACGGTAGCTTATTATATAACCCAGGACACCTAACATTTCCTAGGTTCGCTACATAGCAAGCTAGCTAGCAAACGTGAAACTGTAGAGTGAGAATTAACACCTCCGTCTTAATCTGTAATCGGAATGTATTCAATCAGATTGGCAAAAATCTTTGCATGTAAACACAGCCATTGCCCCCCCACAAAAACAAAAGCACAAAACTTGAGAAAAGCCATGGTGGTGAAACTGCATAGAACGGTCAGAAAACAGCTACAGCCACTAGCATGGTTCTGCATCACACAAAAACAGCTGTACAGCATGTGGTTCATCTGGCTTAATCTGACCGTTTTAGTGTGTTTTAAATTAAAATTGAATTTTAATTTGATAACCCCATCATTTGATAGAATTCAGAGCCAGGACACACGGCTAATTTGATGGATTTTAGATTTTCTGGTGTATAATTTGCTCAGAGTACTACAGGAAATGACAGTAATGCAAAGCGATCTTGCTTTCTACTTTATCTTTTGTTATTTTTCTTGTAGTTTATGAGCATTTTAGTAGTAAATTACAGAGGCGAATCAATGTTAACTGAAGTAATGTTTTTATATTGAATAAACGTGATGCCACTGCTGACAACAGCACCCAATCCTAATGGACAGATGCAGTGTGTGAAGGTAATGTGGCATCATGGGTAAAATTCCCAGCCATATAGATCGGGACGGGTCATTCTCGACTGAGGATGTGTTTGTATGGGTGGGTCTGATCTGCTCTGTGCCTGACTGTTAAAGTAGGTCAGCAGAGCAGCAGCAGAGTGTCTAAGTGAGGGAGAGATCAGAAGGCTGCTCCACATGGAGGTGTCCCACATCCCTCTCTATTCTCCTCCCATTCCATTCCTCCTCCTTTCATTCCTCTCCTCTCAGAGAGACTCGGTTCCCTTTCAAATCACCTCAAATAACTCATGTTAAGTGCTGCATGCTTTATGAACACACATCTCCCTTTCTTTCTCTCTTTCTCTCTCTCTCTGTCTGTCTATCTATCTCTCTATCTCTCTCTCTGTCCCCCTGCCCATGTCCCTATTTCCATCTTTCCATCTGTTTTCTTTTTCCCTACATGTGGGAACTCAATTCAGTGACTCAGACTCGCATGTTGACCGACTTGGACTCAAGATTTAAAATAGCTAAAATAGTGTCTGTGCGGTTTTTGGACCATGCTGGACGTCTTTATGTATTACGTTAGACGCACAGGCTTAAAATGAAGGTCTGGCTTAATGTTTAGGTCTCAGATGATCACAAAATCAACTACATTGATGAAGCTACACCGATCAGGCGTAACATTATGACCACCTCTTTGTTTCTACGCTCATTGTCCATTTTATCAGCTCCACTTACTATATAGGTGCACTTTGTAGTTCTACAGTTACAGACTGTAGTCCATCTGTTTCTCTGCATACTTTGTTAGCCCCCTTTTACCCTGTTCTTCAGTGGTCAGGACCCCCATGGACCCTCACAGAGCAGGTACTTTTTGGGTGGTAGATCATTCTCACTGGAACACTGTGTCCACTCACTGTCCACTCTATTAGACACTCCTACCTTGTCAGCCCACCTTGTAGATGTGAAGTCAGAGACGATAGCTCATCTGCTGCTGCACAGTTTGTGTTGGTCATCCTCTAATCCTTTATCAGTGGTCACAGGACGCTGACCACAGGACGCTGTTGGCTGGATATTTTTGGTTGGTGGACTATTCTCAGTCCAGCAGTGACACTGAGGTGTTTAAAAACTCCAGCAGCACTGCTGTGTCTGAGACTCAACTTGGACACTAACCCCAGAGACTCGAGACTCGACTCAGACTTTAACCACAGAGACTCACGACTTGACTCGGACTCAAACCACAGAGACTCTGTTCGGACTCCAACCACAGGGACTCTGTTCGGACTCCAACCACAGAGACTCTGTTCGGACTCCAACCACAGGGACTCTGTTCAGACTCCAACCACAGAGACTCTGTTCAGACTCCAACCACAGAGACTCTGTTCGGACTCCAACCACAGGGACTCTGTTCGGACTCCAACCACAGGGACTCTGTTCGGACTCCAACCACAGAGACTCTGTTCGGACTCCAACCACAGAGACTCTGTTCGGACTCCAACCACAGGCACTCTGTTCGGACTCCAACCACAGAGACTCTGTTCGGACTCCAACCACAGAGACTCGACTCGGACTCCAACCACAGAGACTTGAGACTTTACTCTTGTATGTCCTTTTTTTCTCTTTTCTTTCTCCTTTTTCATCTCTTCCTTTAACATTTTTCTCCACCCTACCCCCCCTCTCTCTGTCTCTCTCTCTCTCTCTCTCTCTGTCTCTCTCTCTCTCTCTTGATTTGTCCCCCTTGCTCTTTTCCCCACTGCACTGCAGACCGTCTGAGTCACATGGGAAAAGTGATTTCACGCTGCATGTTCTGGTTGCCCTTCTGTTTTGCAGCTCTGAGCTCTGTGCAGTGTTTCTACAGTCCAGTCTCTGTCTCCGCCGTGTCCAGGCCACACTGTGCTGCTGTGTATATCAGGGCTGCCACAATTAGCCTACAAAGCTGATTATGAAAAAAAAAACTCAACAGATTTGATAAAGCTCTTTCTGTAAGGAACAATTACCGGAGCCTGCATTGACAAAACGTTTTAGGCATTTAAATATTTTTTGTAAAAATGCTTAGAATGGATTTTGAAATCCATGATTATGGATTATAATGAAATCATTCTATAATGTTCATATGATCCACAGAGTCATTCTGACAGACTGTAATACTCTACAGGAAGTGTAGGGGGCGATATGGCTTCTGTTGTTTCATTTAAAAAGTGCTCTATAATGTTCATATAATCCACACAGTCACTCTGACAGACTGTGAT